TATCCCAAATGAAAGTCTTTCCTTTACAAGTCAATTGCGTTAACGGAAGTGCCAACTTCGAAAATCCCTCAATAAACCTCCGATAATAACCCGCCAAGCCCAAAAAGCTTCGAATCTCCATAATCGATCTAGGAGCCTCCCATTGCATCACCGCATCAATCTTGGATGGATCAACACTAATACCACTACCGAAAATAACATGTCCAAGAAAACTTACTTCCGACAACCAAAATTCACATTTCGACAACTTAGCATACAATTGTTTCTCTTTCAAAATTTGTAACACATCCTCAAATGCTCTTCATGCTCCTCTTGAGACTTAGAGTAAATCAAAATATCACCGATGAACACAACCACAAAATGATCTAACTGTTCATGAAAAATACGATTCATGTATTCCATAAACACACTCAGCGCATTAGAAACCCCGAATGACATCACAAAATATTCGTAATGGCCATTCCGTGTCCTAAAGGCCGTCTTTTGAATACCCTCTCCTTTCACATGAATCTGGTGATATCACGATCTTAAATCAATCTTACTAAAAACGCGCGCACCAACCAATTGGTCCATCAAGTCATCGATCCTTGGAAGCGGATACTTGTTCTTAATTGTCACCTTGTTCAGTTGTCGATAATCAATGCATAACCGCATATTCCCATCCTTCTTCTTTACCAACAATACCGGAGCACCCCAAGGGGAAACACTTGGCCTTACAAATATCTTGTCCAACAAGTCTTTCAATTGCTTCTTCAATTCTACCAACTCTGGTGCCGACATACGATACGGTGCCATCGAAACCGGTCTAGTACCCGAAACTAGATCAATAGAAAACTCAACTTCTCTTTCCGTCGATACATCCGTAATATCCTCCGGAACACTTCTGGAAAATCACACACCACTGGGAACACATCGAGCTCAACTTTACTCTCCACCGACAATGATGCAAACAAACCGAACAATTGAGCTTCGTCCGCTAAAAGTTTCTTCAACTCTTTAGTGGATAGGAAACTCTCATCTTCATCATCTTCCAAAGAAGGAAACCTCACTAACTTGTGATAGCAATCTATATGAACTCGATTAAATTGCAACTAGTTCATACCCAAGATTACGTCCAATCCCTCCAACGGCAAACACACTAAATCCATAATGAAGTCTTTCCCATACATGGTCAAAGGACAACTTACACACACCAAAGATGTAGTTACCGACCCCGAAGCGGGAGTCTCAATAACCATGTCACCACCCTAAGAAGTCACGAACAAATTCAAACGCTTAGTGCACTCATGAGAAATAAACGAATGAGTCGCTCTAGTATCAATAATAGCAACTAAAGGCGTACTATTAACAAAGCATGTACCTTTAATCAAACGATCTGCACTAGCAGTGTCTGACCCAGCTAATGCAAACACCTTTCCGCCCGCTTGAACTTGTTTCGGCTTAGTACACTTAGTACTAGTGTGACCCACTTCTCTATAATCATAGCACTTCACTACATTCCTCCTACAATCGGTAGTAGCATGCCCAAGGCCTCCACAGTTAGAACATTTCACTACGGTCTTCCCACACTCAAATGATTTATGACCCATTTCACCATACTTGTAACACTTAACGGAATCAGAACCTCCTCCTCTAGATCTCTTATCAAAGTTTCCCTTATGCTTGCCCTTATCAACGGGTGTCACATAAGGTCCACTTCTAGCTTGTTGCTTTCCCTTCCTCTCATTCAAACTTTTGTAATGTGTAGAACGAGCCTTTCTATATTCCTCGAAGATTCTACAACATTCCGTCAAATTCGTAAACCTTCTTATCCTTTGATATCCCACAACTTGCTTAATCTCGGGATGCAAAACATTCTCATATTTAATACACTTTGAGAACTCAACAGTAATTGCAGCATAGTGAGGATGGAATTGAACCAACTCCACAAATTTAGTAGTATAGTCCACCACAGACATACTACCTTGTTTCCGTTCAAGGAACTCCATCTCCTTCTTCCCTTTCACACTTTCAGGGTAATACTTCCTCAAGAACTCAGTACGAAATAAATCCCAAGTTATCTCTTCATCATCCACCTCAAGAGCTTGACGCATACCGACCCACCAATCGTCGGCTTCTTCCTTCAGCATGTGAGACCCAAGGCTCACCTTATTCCCCTCCGCACAATCCATGACTCTGAAGATCCTTTCAATCTCTTTCAACCAAATTTGAGCACCATCAGGATCAAATCTTCCTTTGAAGACCGGTGGTTGATTCTTCCTGAACTCGTCATTAGCATTCACGTGCGACGTACCTTGCACCGCCCTAGCCATTGCTTCCAAAGCTGCAACCATCGCATTGTCGTTTCGACCAGCCATATTCTGATCATTACCAAAAATAACAACAAGGTTAAACAACAGTTCAACCATCACAACAACAAGACAGACACAACTGACTCAACACTGGCTCTGATACCACTTAATGTAACACCCCCTTTCTATACCCCCAAATAATCACATAATCATTTAGTCACATATTAGAGTATAATTATAAACATAGTATAAAAGAGGCGCGTCACATTACGCTTGAAATTAAAACATACAACACCTGCTTAACAAAAGATATGCAACATTGGGGTAACTTTGCAACAGAGGAACTTAGTCCTTACACCCACATCTCAAAATTTAGAATAAAAGCGAAAAATCTAAACATTGATAACATCAAACATCTATATATATATATATATATATATATATATATATATATATATATATATATATATATATATATATATATATATATATATATATATATATATATATATATATATATATATATATATATATATATATATATATATATATATATATATATATATATATATATATATATATATATATATATATATATATATATATATATATATATATATATATATATATATATATATATATATATATATATATATATATCATCCAATATGATTCAACAACATAAGTCATGTTTACATAAACATTCATCAACAAGATACATATACAAATGTATCACAAAAGACTCATGTGCATCATTATGCTTCACATACAAAATGACTCAAGACACTCTTGAAATGCATACATATTCACAATATATTCATGCATTCTTCTCATTCTATCACATACCATCTATATACATTCACAATATATTCCACAATCTAGGACTCACGCCATACGGCTACCTACAACATATCCTATAACAGCACACAAGCTACATGTTATATATCGAAAGCATACAGTATGATAACACATCAAACGCACCCGTTCGCGATGGTAAAAGTTGACATAATGACACGTTTCAAATTTTCTACTATAATTGGATCATACACTGACATCAAAACCATTTTTCCTAGAAAGAACATCTCTTTAGCTTTCCAACACTTCGAACGGGGACTAAAACCGACTTACGGGTCAAAATATATGAATTTTCGAAGTTTTCCAAAAAAATCAGAATTTTGCCTAAAAACTGCTACGAGATTTTGCATTTTTGTCCGAAAATCCGATCGATTCAATTCTTTTATTCGAAATAAACACATATTCATACTTACCTAACATATAGCAGTGAATTAGAACCATTAAACACGATTTCTACGACGTCCGATTTTCACTCAAATCTCAAACCCTCAATTATCCAAAAATGTCAAAAGTTACGAAATCACCCGAATTCAATCAAACAAGTTTCAATAGTCACAGACTAACATTCCTCGACTAAACTACGCAATTTATTTCAAATTCTAACCGTGAAAACATCGGTTTCTATCGATTTTACCAATTCAACCTAAAATGGAAATATGTGGAAAAAAACAACCAAAACAATCCAAACAAAACCATACATAATCATACACAATGATAAGATAACAATATTTCACACCCTTACCCGATTAAATCGATTTCTAGAAGTGTTCTTGATGATTTTCCAAACTTTCTCTCTTTTCTTCTCTTTTCTTCTTTCTTTCTCTTCTCTTTCTTTCTATTTCTCTTTTCTCTCCTTTTTCTCTCTTATATCTTTCTATTCTATTTCTTTTCTATTACTTTTTCTCTCAAAATATCTAATAATTCATTTTCTCACACAAAATTTCTAACTTAACATTAATTAAGGAAATATCTAAAATACCCTCCAACCTAATTTCCCCGAAAACTCTCAAAAACGATAAATTAACATAATATGCAAACATAACATATTAACACACCAATTCCACAAATAAAATAATAATCACCAAAATAAAATAAAATACTCAACAAAAATGGGAAATCAAAATCGGGGCGTTACAAAGACTGTAGTCAAGAGAATGCAAACATCTGTAACAGTGAGAAGGGTTCCATTGACACAACAAATGTTTGGCTCATTTTATTTCTGTTTTGATGATTGTAAGAAGGTTTTCATAAATGGATGTAGACCATTTATTGGATTTGATGGTTGTCATTTGAAGACCAAATATAATGGACAACTTCTAATTGTGGTGGATAGAGATCACAATGATCAATACTTCCCATTGGTATTTGGTGTTGTTGAAACTGAAACAAAGGAGTGTTGGAGGTTGTTTCTATAATTATTGGTGGAAGATATTAAACAAGAAAGAAGATATGTATTCATCTTGGATCAACAGAAGGTATGACATTAACATCCTATGCTTTATTCATTTCATCACCTATATCTGGGCGTAAACTCATTTATATGTTGTGTATATATTGGTAAACTTAGTTCCTCATGTTGTGTCTATGCTTGTACAGTGATACATATGTTGGGTCTATGTTGGTAAAGTGATGCATATATTGTGTCTATGTTGGTAAACTGATGTCTATGTTGCTAAACTTATGTCTTTGTTGCTAAACTGATGCTAATGTGATGCCTATGTTCTAAATATGTTTCAGGGATTAGTGGCTATTTTTGAAGAAATGTTTGACAGGATTGAGCATAGATTGTGTCTCAGACACTTGTATGCAAATTTTAAAAAAATGTTTCATGGTGGAATCCTTATAAGGGATTTGATGTTGGGAGCTGCTAAGGCCACTTACTATCAAGGTTGGATCCAAAAGATGAATGAACTGAAGAAAGTAGATGTCAAGGCTTGGACTTGGTTAATAGCAATTCCTACCAAATGTTGGTGTACGAATGCATTTAGTTTTTAGCCTAAATATGATGTTTTAATGAATAATACATCTGAGTCATTTAATTCCACTATTTTAGTTGCCAGGGGCAAGCCTATTCTAACCATGTGTGAGTGGATTAGAAAGTACCTTATGAATAGGTTAGCAACATCTACTGCCAAATTTAATAGGTGGAAACATAAAGTTATGCAATACTTAAGAAGGTTTTAGATAATGAGGTGTTCAATAGTGGTTAATGGTTGCTAACTTGGTCTATTGTTGAAGATTTCCAGGTTACACATACTTTAAACACACAAGAATTTATTGTTGACATTGCCAAAAGATCTTGTAGCTGTAACTTCTAGGAATTTGTTGGAATTCCATGTAGGCATGTTGTTGCTGTATTGAGTTATAGGAAACAAAACCATGATGATTTTGTTGATGAATGTTATACAAGAGAGAAGTATGCAATTTTTTATGGATTTTCTGTTACTCTTATCAATGGGCAAGAGATGTGGTCAGAGGTCCAAACCAATGAATTACTACCTCCTGTATATAAAAATGGACCTGGAAGATCAAGGAAGGTTAGGATAAAGGAATGTGGTAAGGATGGTTCTAGAAGGAGAAGACCTGGTGTAGCTTATAAGTGCTCAAAATGTGACAAGTTTGGGCACAATGCTTTATCATGCAAGAGCCTTACATGATACCCTAATGCTTTAAATAGAAAGGTAACATAAATTTTATTTGTATGCATTGCATTGTGCTATTTTGAATGTAACATAAATTTTATTTGTATGCATTATACTGTTTTGAATGCAGAGGAAACCAACATCAGAACAAGCTAAAGCTGAGCCAAAGTAGAAGAATGTGTAGAAAAATGTTGATTTGCAGCCTGATGTTCATGATGATGTGCAGCTAGATGTTAATGTTGATGTGCATCTAGATGTCCATGTTAATGTGAAACCTTATGCAAGTCAAGCTAATAACAAGATCGATGCAAATAACAATGTTGCTGCAAGTCAAGCAAGCTCATGTATGGTTGACACAAGTCACACTAGTTTAAGTCAAGTACAAGCAAAACAAAAGAATGGGAAAACCTGTAATTAAGATGAGAAAAAGGTAGAGCGAAAGAATTAAGTTGAGATGGTTTCAAAAACTAATCATAGGCCATGGTTCATCTAGTGACCAGCCAATCACAATAACAGAGCATGATGAAAGAACAAGTACATAGGGAAAAAGTGCTCATGGGCATATTCAAAGCCTGGGGTGCTAACCTGATCATTTAAGTCTTGAAAGAAAAAGAGATAACAAATGATGAACTTTGTGTTTGTATTAAGTTACTAGTAGTATGTTTAAGTTATACTTGTATTGATGCACATTATGTGCCATTTTGTTATCTCAGTAATGATGCAGTTCATGTGCCATTTTTGGAGGCTCTAAGATTTGACCAAATTTTGGTAAAACATGATATTGCACAAGATGTTCTAACATGTAGAAATCTGTAAAGAACAACATGTCAGACAAGATGTCCTATCTTGAGCACTTGACATCTTGGTCTGATGCAGTAGGTTTGTTGCAGATCTGTTCCATGCTTTAAGGGGAATTAGAACGTGGATCAAGGAAATATTGGACAGAGACTTAGAACCCCATGGACTGCTAAATATTATAAAAGGAAGACCAAGACCTATAGCAAATAATAATTCCTTGTTAAGACTTTTGTCTAGTAAAATAAGGTTTTAGGGTTTTAAAAGTTCTATGGCTTTCTAGTATTACAAGTCGCCATTTGTATCAAATTTGATACATTGTGGTAGACATAGTTTTCATATTCAGAAACTTGTAGATATGAATTGTATATTGTTCTTGGATGAAGCTATTAAGCAAATTCAAGCATTATTGTTAGTCAAAAGTCTTGACTGAATATTGTATTGAGAGGGGTGTCTTTTAATTAAACAGTTTGATACAATCACCGGAGGTTATGACTGTTAGATATCACTAAGGTGATTTAGGAATTGAGATGAGTTTCTCTTATCTAGATGGTGATTTCTAGGTAGAAGTTGCACTGGGCAGGGATTAAGTGAGGAGTTGTAAACCGGAGGTTTTTTAGCTCTAAATTAATACTACTGATAGTGAATTCATTTTGGGCTTAGTAGCCCCCAGATGTAGGTGTTGTTGTACACCAAACTAGGTCATCATATCTTGGCGTTATTTATCATTTTGTTATGAATATTTCAATTATGTCTCTTTCTTTAAAATACATGTCTTAACAGATGTTAAAACATCTGTCATTACACTGTTATGTTTTTGACATATCAGTTTGTTCTGGTCTGTTCTAATATGCGCTTGTTTAGCTATGTAGAAATCAATGTCTCGACATCTCTTGGCACATCTGATATTTGTATACCAAAATTTCAATTGGTATCATAGCAGGCATCCTGTTCTGTTTCTGGATGAGTTCTAGGGAAGTTACTTTCTAGTCTTTTGAATAAGGAAGGAGATTGTGTGATTAGGCCGTCCATTACTACTGTGTTCAAGGGTATTGGAAGCTAAGAGGATAGTTTTCTGAATCTGGCCTGACAACTACTGATGGTTGACTGATACCTCTGTGTAGATTCTTCCACTGCTGCTGATAATGATGCTATTGTTACGCATGGTGCCTTTAAAATGTTCTGACATATATCCTGGCTTGTTAAAAATGGGGTCAGCCTTTCTAGATGCTCATGTCATTGCTAGCTGGGAGTTGTGTAAAGGAGCAAGCACTGTGATATGTTTTTCTCTGAAGGATCTTCCTTTGTTGCTTGGGAGACATGTCAAACAGGTACCATGAAGGGTAATATGAGGAAAAGGTTAAGTTGATGGCCTGTTTATCAAATTCATGATCTATGGATTTGGTAAACATTGCATGTTTAAGATACTTGATTTCTCTCTCAAGTCCACTCATAAAGGCACTGCTGAATATGTTCAGAAGAGAAGATGGTCCTCTATGGAATATTTACGCTTTGAAAAATTCCTTTCTAGATTGTTTCTAGAGTAAAGAGGGGTTTATTATGACATTTTATGACAGAAGAAAACATAATTGGGATTTAAAATCAATTGATATTTGTGGCCTTAGCAAGTATTTAATTGATTATCCTTTTGATTAGTGAGGTCAAAAATGTCACTTCTGAAGGTGCGGCTTCAAACTGTTGCACGAACTTCAAAACCTATCTCAATGACATGTTCATGGGAAAAAGAACTGATGATCAACCAGATGTTGAAACATCACTTCAGAAAAGTGTGTGCAGAATCTTGTTGATCCAAGGAGTGAACTTCTTAGACAAAGGAGAAATGTAACATATATTATGGATGATAAACAAATGTGTGTTTATCAACAATGGTGAGAATCTTCTTCAAATTGGTCCTGAAGAGTCATTTGATTTGTAGCCTAGGAAGCCTCTATCCAAGAAACTTGTTATGGATATGTGTGCTGGTGGAAGTCCAGATTAACTCATGGTCATCTTGATGAACATTTGTGGGGTCAGTTTGTATGGAAATCAAAGAAAATGTCTAGGACATTCACTATGACATCTTTGAAACTTCTTTGGTCTTTCAAAGCTGGATATGTGTGATCTTACAGATTGTATGCCTATCTCATGATTACCTCTTCTAAGATGAGGTTTGGACTCTGATCAGGTGTTGAGTCTCTTGGAGAATTGTGCTTGAAGCAAACTGTCATCATGTCTATGAACTCTTGTTCTATTGTGATGGAGAAGTCCTTCATTGTGAGGTGGTGTCTGGAAGACTAAAAGGGATAGATTCTCTATATTGTATCAGCAAAGATGGAACTCAATATGGTTCACCAATTGGCTAACCAAGCCATTGATGTACTTTAAGTATCCTGATATTGTACTGAACATCAGAATGCTCATGCTAAAGGAAATAAGTTTGCACTGAAGCTGTCTTTTTGTTAAAGGATGGTCTCTTTAGGCTTATGTGCTCTTCATTTGTATGGCTAGTGTAAAAATTTATCTCAACCTTTATGAATCATACAATGACAAAAGCTCAAGTTTTCTATATGGATTTATTATGGTCTTGCAAGGTGGAGTTCTAAAGGATAGGGGACTGAAAGGTAGAACAGAAGTAGACTTTGCTGAGAAGTCTGCTTATGGTATGATGCTCAATCTATACCGTCATGTGTAATGTTAGTCATACTGATATCTGTTAGAGGGAATCTCCTCTTTGGATGCTTAAGGTTGGTGATGACTTTTTAATGTCAGACAGGATGTCTGAACATTGTACTTATGAGTTGAAGCTTCATGAGGCTTGTGAGAGTTTATTTCTCTCTGTGGTATTCCGCCTCCTATGATGGTCTATGAGTTGCTGCACCTGTGATATATTAAAATCCTCATGTGTTCATTGCAAAGAGAAGTGCATGAATTACCATGCAAAGAGTTAATCCTATGGATGTTGACTCCAGAACCAAAGTAGATGAGTCATATGATTGAGGATGATTTCTTAACATCATTTCAATAAACTATCTCTTCAAAAAGAAAAGTGATGTATCCATGGGAGATAACTTGGTGTTGATGGTGTGGAGTTTGTTACTCACTAGTTGTATCATAAGTGAATTATCTAGTCATTGTGAAGTGTGTGGATTGTGATTATCTGTGTGTAGATGGTAGGTTCTATTGGAAGTATCTCTAAAAAGGAATATATCAGGCTGAATCTTGAGAAGGTAGCAGGCTGAGACTGTATCCCTCTTCATATAGTGATGGGGTTTGATGTCTTCCAAGTATGCATGATATCTTGACTAATTAAGAAGTTAAGACAACATGTATGTCTCTTTAGGGGATGTGAGCATTCCAGGTTTGATTGGATTTATTCTCAAAGAACACGGTTGTCTATAGCTGTAAGGTTCAAGATGAATTTGTATAATATGGATGTATTCAGGGGGAGAGTGATCAATGGTGTTATTTGAGCTTAATCCAAGAGTCTATTGGTTATGGTTCTGTCATGGTGAAATTTGGATACCAAGCTATTAATGAGCTTGAATCTTAATTAATTTGCAACCGGTCTTTGATTTGTCCAAAGGAAGGGAAAAAGATTGAAATACCCACAATGCAATGCAAATGCAAGCTAGAGAGTTTTAGGTTCGGGGGTTGGTTAAACTTAGGGAAGGTGCTAACATCCTAAGTTTCTGTAGTACTCTACAGGAACCTCTTGTTTTATGTTGTTTATTGCTAAGGGTTATCTGCTTAAGGATGAAAGACCTAGGGGTTGATTTCTAAGTATACTCGATAAGATATCGCATCTTATGCCTACATATCCTTACGGGAGTGGAATCAGAGTACCTGTAGTTCCCCTAAAGGGTTTGAGGAGTTCTTTGACTGTGGTCAAAGTTCCTACGGGATAAAGGTAGTTGATTGATTGATTTTAGGAGAAAAGGTGAGTTGTCATTTTAAGGGAGATTACTTGATTTAACCACCACAACTTTTTAGGAAAATAGTCTTTGCATCATCTTAAGAGAAGAGCTCAAGTACTCGGATTGTCAACAAGTACGCCTCTATCTCTCTTAAGGAAAAGTCCCTACATATTGATTGAATTGTTATGGGGTAGGAGTTTTATCTCACTTAAGATGATTAACATCTTATTCTCTAATGTGTTTGAAAAGTTTGAATTGAGTTGTTGAATTGTTTTCCTATGTTGTAAAGATAAAAGGTCCTTTCTA